AGAGCGTAGGATAAAATAGAAATACGAAGTGGGTAACTAACTGAGTAATAAATTGTGAACTTGATAAATATTTGAGATCTTTATTTGTCAAATCGATTTATTTCAACAAATAAAATGTGCATTTTATCGTGAAAGTAGTTTCTATTTTTAAATTTGAGATAAAGTAAAAATATGGAATGAATGACTAACTGATAATGAGTAATAAATTTGTTTTCTATACAAAATTAATATAACTTAAAGTTAAATGTCGCTCACTAAAGTCAAAAAATATAAAATGTGAAGTTGATCAGTTTAGCCTATGAGCGATGTATTTATTATCGATAGCTCGAACTTTGTGAATGTTTATTTATTATCAACTTTATTATTATTAATTCTTACCTGTAAATAAGAATCCATTTTATTAGTAGCGAGTGATAATTAATAAAATGTGTTGTTATTAAAGGTTAAAGTTATTTTTGAATTTTTCATTAGATATGTTATTCCGGACGTTTGCATGGGGCAATTAGTTTTACCATGTTTTTAAAAAGCTGCTTCGCATAACGTTTCCAAATTGCTAAATAATATTTTCGTGAAAACCTTATAAATATGTAAATTTTGAAACCTGTTATTTGTTCCTCCAGTTTTATTAATTTTTTATAGAAGTAAGTGAAATAAATAGTTTAAATTTCAAATATGGTACTTGAAAATTAATTTCTTAGAAAATTCAGATAAAATAAGCCAGTCAAATAACATTCCACACTTAACTAAAATTTTTAAGTCACCTATAACTCTGATGAATACTTTTAATAATTTTTTACGCAATTTTCGTTAAATTCACGAAAAGAAAAATTATAAAAGAAATCCAAACAATCTTAAAATACATTTTTATTAGATTAATATAGGATTAATAATTAGATTTTCATTTAATGAACAAACGTGTAGAAATTCGTATATGCCCAGATCCAACTAACTTTCTTTCAAATTCCATTGTAATATTATATAACGGTTTCAATTATAAGTAGGAATAAAATGCACAAATTATAATTCAAATACGAATACGATACAAATCGCGAATTATGTATCAATAATATATCCTTAACCTTACTATTATGCAATTCCAATTTAAGTCTCGTCAATTCTCATCAAAGTATTATAATAACAATCGCTCCAATTATTATAACAATCGTGATTGCAAAGTATACGAACTATAATCCAAATAGAAATTACAAACTAATAATACCTTACCATCCATTTTTCCATTCCATCATTGTCACGACGCGATACTGGATCCACCAACAATAATCGAGTTACGACAATGGACGCATTAGCAGGTAAACGGTAATCTCCGTCGTTGTTTCAGATTTTTAGTGCCAGGCTGGCGTATGGGCTGGATAATCATTCACGATCGTCAAAACGTTCTGGAGGAGGAGGTGGGTAATTGTACGATACCCTATACACGGGACAGCTTGAAAATAATTGCTTCTCCGTTCGTATTGTTTCCGTAACAGGAACGACCAGGTCCGTTTCTGCATCGTGCCTCTCCGCGATTGGATTAAATGTCGTTGATTAAATTCTATCTCATCGTTAAGTTTCTCCTCTTCTCACCGTTCGACCTCTTCTCCACTTCTTCGAGTTTTACTCCCGCGTCGAAAATAATCGAGAAAATCGAACGAAGTGTTGTCGCGTTGTACGAAGAGTGATTTTAATTCGTCTCCTTCTTCCTTAGAAAAATCTGCTAGCTCATAATATCAGTCTGGTGTTTCTTTCTTCGCTTTTTCCCGTCAGATAAGGAAGGCTCTTCATTGTCTGAGTCAGAGGATCATCGGCAGCAACACGCTTATCCAAGGTGCTCTACCGGCCATTTTGAAGAACACGCCACAGCAATTCTACGATGATATCATGGCGACGTTATACGTACGTGCTTTTTGCAATAAATCTACTATACAGGGTTTATTATGCACTTAAGTTGACATGGTGAAAAATTTCATAGACAACTGGTTCAAAAGTTATTTTATATATCTACAAATACTATCAAAATTTCTCAGACCTTGAGGTACCATGGTCACTCAAAGATCTTGAAAGATCATTTACTACTTCTGAGAATTTTTACTAGAAAATCACAAAACTACTTATACCAAAGATTGAAGTTTAAAGTTTCACCCATAGCTTACAAACATTGGTGTAGGATATCAGATCTACTAAATCGAGATGAAACTAAATCACACGACTGCTCGGTACAACGAGATATTTCGAAAGCGATTTTAGAAACGAATGCCTACACAACGTAGTAATTAGGTCCCCATTTTCGTTTGCAGAATCACTCGAAATCGGCGTACAATTGCGTAATGAAGATCCCTGGTCTGAAACCAATAATGGCGGATGGTGGAATGTACATGATGGTAACCGTCTGATCCGTGTCAATATTTTCTTCGCCAATATCATTCGATTTACACAAGATTCGTAAACTATCGTCGAGCTGTACGCAAAAATATATCGCGAATTATTAAAAATCTAATAGAGCCATTTCATGGTCGACGATAATAACTCCAACGCGTACATTCATCGCCATACTCGATATATCAATACTTGAAGAGAGTTTCGATCGGTATAATGAGTGAATTATTTACCGTCATTAAACTCGATCGCAAGACGGGCCAATCGAAACTAGCATCCGCGTAAACATTTCGCTTAATTAGCTGAAAATCAGACGCGATTTAAACGTTAAGGTAAACACGCGAACGTCAAGTGTGGCCAATCGTGATTTACTGGCTATAAATTATACTGTCGGTTCTCCAGGTTTACATAGATCTACCTTGTTTTCCGGAATTTAATTCCGACCTCGAATTCGTGCAGCGATTGCTAATGGAGGAGTCCGTGTTTTGCCTTCCTGGCCAGGTATGCGGTATAAATCGAGCACCCATTCGACTGGACGTTTTCGTCGATTACACGCTTCTCCATTCTTTTCACAGTGCTTCGATTATCCGTCGTACATGAGGCTGGTCATCACCGTGCCCATGGATATGTTGGAGGAGGCCTGTCAGAGGATCCAGGAGTTTTGCGAGAGGCATCACTATAAGACGGCCGAGGATTCGCAGAGGAATAATTTAATTAAGGCGGGAAGTTCGTATTAAACGATGGATATGCATGCCTTCAATCGTTCTTCTAATTACTTACTATTTAAGAGGGTAATTAACGAAGAGTGTTCTAGACTTTCAAAGTTTTGTAAATATTATCGATGGCACTGTGAAGCATGTATACCTAAGTGAAACAGGTTGACAATTATTAAAGAAATTTGTCAACGTCTGTGTAAAGGGTGGTTTTGGAATAGGATTATTTAAAATACTCTGTTTTGATAGATGGAAGAATATTTGTAGATAGGGTAGATGAAATTTGAAATAATTAGCAGACTGAAGCAGATAGAATTGATAGAAGACGAACTTCTCTTCAGGTGATTTATAGAAATTTGTGTTTACGTAAATTCTTTCTTTTTCTAATTTATTAGTAACGTATGCGATTAATATACGATTAAACGAAGGTAGTTTGGAATTATTTAGAGTTATTGCTGAACTGTTTGAAGCTTGATTGACTTTTCAGATACAGAGTGCCTTTAGTGATTATATGCTGATTTGTTATATAAAACATTCATTGTTCCATTTACTATGATATTATAGTAAGTAGTATACTATACACATTATGTCTGCTATATTATTCTATTTATCAATTTCGTACAATAAAGGCCACTAGCATTATCCTACCAATGTCTACCAAATTTCACCATACCATTGATGATTCCTAACGTATACTAATATCGTATTAACTCGCACACTATAATTCCCAATTTCTACACGCGGAACTTTAGGTAAGCTTCGTATGCGCGTTTATCTATACAAGCCGATGAACTAATTAATTTCCATTTGGCGCACGCGCGTGCACTAAAGTTTGTCCTGCAAGTGTGTCGCTAAACACGCAAATTCCGATTAATTCCGCAACGAAATGTTTCCCTTGAAAATTCGATTGCAATTCGAACATATTCAACAATGACGTCACGAATAGTCATACACGCGTGTAATAATCGAGCCCGTTTACTATATGCAGCCCAAAAGAAGTCAATCGAGACAGCTCAGAGTTTTCTTCGGTATTGTGCGTGTGGTTCCAGACGAATTATCGGACAAAATGATTGTGTATGTCAGTTAGATTGTGAGATGGATAGGTGGTACGATCAATTCATTGTTAGTATTCCTACTCCTGCGTCGTGTTGCAGGACTTCTTATAAGGCTGGCACAATAGACCTGCATCCTTTCCTCGCGACTTCTTGCGAGGCACGTCCAGTAGGGCTGGTTTCTTTCCGCGAGACTTCTCGCAAGCCACGCACAATACGTGTCTTCCGTTCCTTTGTCAAACGGTGTCATCTGGATCTCAGAAGAAATCTGTCATGGATAAAGGTGTCTGTCTTTTTCATTTTCTCTGTCACATTACGTACGCGTTTCAAGTTAGAGATAGCGAGTAACTGACCAACTGAAAAGATTCGTAACACATTGTAACTGCGATTAAACTAATCTGCTGATCGATTGTCAGTCCCAACGAAATGGTTTCTCCTGAACTCTTCACTGTGCAGGTTTTAAGTTAACGAATGCGACTGTCTGGCTAATTAAGAAAATTCGCGTGTGCCTGTCTCTGTGCGTGAAATGACTGGGCCAACCCACCGACCAGTTGCTAACCACAGCCAGCTGACTTCTTCCGAGACCCCAGGTGTACCTGGCTCTGGCAGAAATTTCGAATTTCGCTCGCGAATCCGCCATCCTCGACTACCTGTTTTCTATCCCGTTTACCTTTGAATTTCGACCCGATGGAAAACGCTTACCACGAGCACGCGTTGGTCCGTGCACGCGGTCGTTGATAATTAAAACGAACGATGAAAGGGACAAGCAATCGGACAAAGCGATTCGCAGCGGAATGAAATTTCCCGAAAGGGTTTTTCTTCAATTTAGTCCGGTAGGTGTTTATTTATCGCTGTGCCACGCTGCGCGAATCGAATTTCCCAGGAATTTTCGTCCGTTGCGTCGAAACCAGTTGACAATTGTGAAAATGGCACTAGCCGGTCTTAATTGGTGTTTAGACACTTTGAGTTTGGCGTTGGACGTTTGGAACGGATTTGGAACAGGTTTGTCACGGTGATACTTTTTCATGGTGATAGATTGTTTGTCTTTCGCGTTTTCGTTCATGTTTATTTGCGTTGCATTTATTGTGCTTAGCAGAGAAGCATGGCTTTCAACTAGAGGCAGCGTGAAGATAAATGGATTGAGAACTGAGAAGTGCTTGCAGCAGTTGATACAGGAGAGTGATGAATTATTTTTTTAAATTATTACCTTTTATTCTTACTTTCTTGTGAATTTATGGAATTATTGTTATATCTTTTATATCATTCGTACTTAAATTTCCTTGCAAAAACCCAGTTCCATTTGAAATATTCGACAGGCAGATTTATTAAACACTTGCATGTAATATTTGATCTATCTACAGGCGAAGTGATTAATTTTACTTTATGAATTTTTTCAAAATTCGTTATCAAAGCACTCGATTGATGTATAACTTTTTATATTCAGGATAAGTTCCTATTTTATTTTTATTTCATTTTTTAGAGTAGATTTAATCGACTTGGAAAATAAGAAGCTTATTAATTTATCGTTTAGGTTCAGACATTAAATGAAATTGCATACAATTTTATAAGAAAATTTAGGTAAATATTTAGGTAAACATAAGGCAAATTTTGGTCAAAATTAATCGCGGTTCATTTCTATCTTGGTTCTTTAATACTTATCTAAAAGGGCATATGTCTTGTAATTGACGAAGAAATAATTGTGAATTATATTTATGATTGCATAATTGTAATGATGAATATGATTATAATTAGCTCTCATATTATCGGAGAGGATAAGTGGCAAAACGTAGGGGTCTCTCATATTTCGTGTTTCACGCAAACTAGGGGTGGGTTTATTTTCGTTGAAGACTCCATTGTAAAGCGGAACACTAACGAGCGCATACAACAGGCATATTGTGGTTCCAGGAACATGCATTATTATTCCAGTTGCGTGATACTGGCAATCGTGTTTGGACCACTGTAAATAGTTTATACTGTCGAACGAATAAACTACAGGTGTGTTATGGATTATGTTAATTTGCCAGTAATATCGAGAAGAATGATATTTTTCAAAAGCGTACATCGCTCGAAATAACTATGCATAGACATTTAAAATTGAGTAAATTTGTCAAAATTATTACGCGATATTTAAAATTAATTTGTTGTAACTTATTTTCATGTAACTAACATGTGTGAAAATATAACAATACCTAGATTACAAAGATGAAACGAATAACATTTATTAATTAATTTTTAAATAACCCTGTATACTTATAATATATTTGGAAATTTATTCTCTACTCAGTCTGACTATTTTCTAATGTGCGCTAAAAAATTAAAAGAATATTTTCATACAAATATATCTAGGAAAGATATATAAACCAGAAGAAATATAAATACAAATACAATTTTTAAAATGTCTATAAATTATTAAATTTATTGCAAAGCTACTAAATTCTTAATCTACCTGCGTTTCTGTAAGAAATAAATCACATCGCTCTTGTCATTCCCTGTTATTAATATCATCCTTCTTAACACAATTTCTGAATTTTGTCTCGTCAGTTAATCTTTAAACATTCCACTCGAAATGCCACGTGTAGGCGAGACAAGAGAAAGAATCGAAGAGTAATTTTATTTTCAGTATGCAACCCGGTTGCTTTGTATACACCACATGTCCTCCATTCCTGGGTTCGTCACTCCTCATTGAAACTGCAAAGAGAAAGGACTACTGTCCTATATAGTTCCTTTTTCACCCGATATTCTGTTTGTCTACTTAGCTCTGGGTTCTGTGTAGTTAGACTCGCTTACTCTCAACGTTCGTTTGCTTACACTGTCGTCTCCACTTTCCTGCAGCTGGATCTTGCCTTTTTCCTTGTTTCTGCGAAATTATATTTCACTCGAGATTGGTTCTCGAAGCTAGTCGACCTAGTAACTTCGAAATACAACTTCAAAGGTCAGTTGCAGCAATTAAACCATTGATTACGCAGGCACATGCTGCTCGATCGCTTGGAGTTAGATTAAAGTTAAAAAGCTGCAATCATGGATCGGTGACGAGGTAATCGATGTCGGTCAATTAACAACTCGGGCCATTTATCCGTTCCAAACAGCGATGTTTGCGCTAGCATTGTTCGTATCAAGGATTAGTCAGAATTAATGTGTACGTTTGCCTAGGAAATCAATTTACATGTAATTACCTATCTGAGCTTGCCAATCTTCTTAATTGAAGAGCCGGAAATCTGTGAGCGGGAAACGTTGATATTTAGGATAGCTGACGCAGCCTTGATGAAGGGGTGCACACGGAGAAGCATGTCTTCCGGTTTGCTGGACCCCAATCCGTGTCGTAAGCATAAATACGTATTGAATCACAGTCGAAACAATTAAATGTTGAATTAGTCCTATAAATTACCTTTCAATTATCAACGCATACACGTTTACTTTCGGTTGAATAAATTTCTCAAATGTAGGCGAAGGGTTGAACACCTAGTAGACATTTTGGGATGCTTGGAATAGTTAAGTAGGTAACTTGAGTTGATTCCATAATGTGCCTTAAACAATTTTTCGCTTTTTAATTCTTTGAAATGAGCTTTGAACTTTGGAAGTTCGAGACGACATTTAAATACTTCATCCAGATTCTGGGTTATGCTAGAATCTCTTCTGAATTTTGGTAAACGAAGATTCGATTTTACACGTTGACCGTAAGTAATCTGTAATTCATTCTAAATTTCGCAATAATCGCTTTCGGACATTGGGAATCTAGCATGGCTCATAGATATGAGTATTAATGCCTGCATTAGGGTAGTTTTAAGCCTCATCATGGGTCGCCGAGGGACTTGGCTTTAAGTTGTTGAACACTTGCTAATATCGATGATGGCAGTGTATTTGTTTAGCGAAATTATGTATTACTTAGTACGATGATAGGTGAAATAATTATCACTGCAATACTAATTTTCCATAATCCTACGATTGTTTTAAAAGATTCGTATGCGAAGATCTATCATGGAAAGATCGTCATTTTGAAAATTCTACGTGGATTAACAAATTGAGAGAAGTCAAAAGTCGATATTCTGATTGGAAAGTATATATCATAAAAAAGAGTAAGAAATTGTATCATAGTTTCGAATTTTATTTTTTTAACCCATTGCAAACGAATGGTACATATGTATATGTGAACC